AGACTATTAAGTACCGTTTCCAATTGGAACTGCCTTAACGAAAAAAAGTTATTAGCGAGCAAAATTACTTCTCATTTTCTTATTGTGCCAGGTAATTCCAAGGTTTAATTTTTTTTTCCAAGAATAGTTAATTAACTTTTCAAATCCAGTCCATCGTTCATTTTTTTGCGATAAGCATATTAACAAAACGTACTTACATAAATTTCATATATGTTATTTTAGCAAAATTATGTTTATTTTTTGAAAAATATCAACTTTTAAAGAAAGAGAACAAGGAATGAAAAGGACTGACGGGCGTTGCTGATCGGACAAGACTCCAAATTTATTTAAAAAATGCTTATATAAAAACACTTTGACTGGCATTTTATTTTTCTCCGCTTAAATATACAGCTTATTACAACAAAAGAAAAAAAAACTTATTGAAAAGTGATTATTAGATAAATAAATTGGAAGTTATTTTTCTTTTACTTACAAAAACATGCTTTGAACTTTTATCAATATTAACAAAAGCATATTTCGAATATTTTTATCTTAATTCGATAAGAGCTGACACTTATCACAACGCCCTCCTTGTAAATTTTATCAAATTAGTTGTCAATGCTTGCTGGTTGGATCACAAGATAACAAAATCTCATGGTGCATTTACTATCAATTACACTTGTATCAAAAGAATAAATTTCTTATCACAAAATTTTTTGGTGAAAAACAATTCAAAGCTATTTCTCGTAATATCTAAACTGACTACCAAACGTATTATTACGCTATGAAAAAATAATGAATTCGATTTATTACGATTAATCACTTTTGCTACGTTTTACCTGTTATCTAGGTCTAGGACGAGATTCAAATAACAATAGTGGACTTAAAAATAGGCAATAAATTATGCTTTATTATGGGTAGAAATAACGAAAGGTTTGAGCTAATACTAAAGAGGGGAATAAATTGAGAGTAATACATTTGTGGAGTAATGAAATACTAAAGAAAAAATTCTCCTCAATCGTGACAAACACAATCGAATAATATTTACAAAAACAGTAATAAATTATTTTTAACGTGATCGCGATTACTATTTTGATAAAAAAAAATCTTTCCGATTTATTTTTGAAAAAATAACATAGGTCCTGGAAAGGAGAAAATGGTTACATTTTTAAAATTCATGATAAGAAAAAATTATAAATAAAAATCCTACAACAATCTTAAATCATATAACAAATTAAAATATTTATATTTTCAATGAAGCAGAATTGCTAATATCTACTACTTTTTTGGAAAATATGTGCATTTTTTTTAAATAGGAAAAATGCTTCTTTGAAATATTTGAGGAACTTCATTTTCAAGTCAATTTTTTTAAAGTAACTATATGTGCAATTTATCTAAGTTAAATAAGAATTATGTAAAAGAATCCGAAAATTCAAAACAACAGCTTTATTTAGCACTGAAAAAACATAATTAATGTTTGAGCTATTTTCCTCATGGTTAATTGACTAAATATGGAAGTAATGACGAATTAATATAAAATTAATCTATATATATATATATACAGTACCCTTCCAAATTATTAGGGACACTTAAAATTTCTAAAAAATTGTCATTTTTCAAAGTGTCATAACTTTTTCAAAAATGAATCAATTTTCATAAAAATTTCAGGATATCATGTTCAGGTCTTCTACTTTCACCTAAAAATTACTTATTTAATTTATCTCAATTTTTTGCAAAAAATTTCACGTTTGAACAAAGCAATTTGTTTATTTGCAAAAAATTTCAAATCTGACAAGTTGCTACTTTGTAAAAAAAAATTTTCATAAAAATTACTATTCACACATTAAAGTACAAGTCATTAACTTTGAAACAGGCTAAAGTAAATGACTTTACGATTTTTTTTGACCGAGATATGAGATTTTGAAATTTTTTTGTTATTTATAGTGAAAACAAAATTATTGTGAATTCGAAAATTATTTAGTATTATTTTTTGCAACTTTCTTATTCGGATTAATTAATTTTTTTATTTAAAACATTATTACAAACAAGAACGTTATTTGTAAATTTGCAATAACAATTTTAAAAAACGACTCAAGAAATTTTTAAGAAATTTAACTTTATTTTGCCGCCTATTTTTATACAAAAGTTAAACTTTTCTCAACTGTGATAAATATAAACTTATGCGAACCATACGTAACAAATAAATAATTAATAGCTAACAAATTTTCAACAGAAAATAGTCAATAGGTTGATCTCTTTAAGCTGAAGAATAAATACTAAATAAGTTTCGAATTCACAATAATTTCATTTTCACTATAAATGACAAAATTTTTTCAAAATCTCATAACTCGATCAAAAAAAAATCGTAAAGTCATTTACTTTAGCGCGTTTAAAATTAATGACTTGTACTTTAATGTGCAAATAGTAATTTTTATGCAAAAAATTTTGTTACAAAGTAACAACTTGTCAGACTTGACATTTTTTTTAAAAAAAAAATTGCTTTGTTCAAATGNATGCTTTATTATGGGTAGAAATAACGAAAGGTTTGAGCTAATACTAAAGAGGGGAATAAATTGAGAGTAATACATTTGTGGAGTAATGAAATACTAAAGAAAAAATTCTCCTCAATCATGACACATACAATTTGGTTTAGTATCAGAGATATTTACAAAAACAGCAATAAATTATTTTTAACATGATCATGATAATTATTTTGATAAAAAAAAAGTCTTTCAGATTTATTTTTGAAAAAATAACATAGGTTCTGGAAAGGAGAAAATGGTTACATTTTTAAAATTCTTGATAAGAAAACACTTATAAATAAAAATCTTACAACAATCTTAAATCATATTACAAATTAAAATGTTTGTATTTTTCATGACGCAAATTTGCGAATATCTACTACTTTTTTGGAAAACATGTGCAATTTTTTTGAATGTGAAAAATGTTTCTTTGAAATTTTTGCGGAACCTAATACTCAAGTCAATTTTTTTAAAGTAACTATATCTGCAATTTATCTAAGTTAAATAAGAATTATTTAGAAGAATCCGGAAATTCAAAACAACAGCTTTATTTAGCAGCGAAAAAACATGATTAATGTTTGAGCTATTTTCCTCATGGTTTTGTATATTAAAATTAATTATTATTTGACTAATTGACTTGATATCGAAGTAATGACGAATTAATATAAAATTCAACTAAACTAGTTTATATTATACTAAACAATAATATGTGAACTAAAGTCCTTTTTTAGGACATGAACGCGTCACTGTATCAACACTTTTCTTCAACTAAATAGTTATGCATTAAGTCAATTATTTTTGTCATTGAACAAACTCGAATTTCAATTAAGCAAAGCATTTTTAGAAGGATTATTTTTGTTTTGTAATATATATATGTGTATACAAAAGGATAATATAATGTTTGAATATAATCGTGCATTAAAAAAATGCCAACAAAAATTCGTTTGTTTATATTTATTAAGGGATCTTTAAGAACAAATAAATTTTTTCTAAGTTTTAAATTACCTGCTTTTTAAATAAGAATTAAGTTTAACAAGCACAAGTGAGTTAACGACAAGTGAGTTAACAACAAAAAATTATAAATTATATATATTTTAACTTCACAATTTAGTTTAAAAAAAAGAAAGTTAAATAATCAATAAAAGTTCTGTAATATTTTTTTTAAATATTATTAATAATAATAAGCTGCATTCTTCATCGCGGAATTCATCCAATTCTATAATCTACTAAATTTTTCACCTCACAGATCTGTAGTTTTACTTAAAGGTAAGTATGTCACAGCTTTAAAGATATAGTCTACATCCATTGTAAACGTTTGTTCTGATTTTGCAGTAAAAGTTAAAATGATATCTTACGACGTTACCGTTTTCAACTTACTGTTTTTTACGAAATCTCTATTTTTCACTTATGTAAGTTTGATATTTTTTCACGGGCGCATGCGTGCTTCACCTGAACTGACTTGAAATCTTACGTACGGGAGTGTGCAGAGGCTAACATAAATTTGCAAAAGTTCCCATGTGTCCATTTTAAACACCGTTATACCAATTAGCACTTTCAACTATCATCTTAATTACAAATTCACCAGGATATGCATTTTAACCAATTCTTAAATATACCACAAAACGCATTAGATCTGAAAGTACGAAATACATAAGAGACAAATATTAAATCACTTAACAATATAAGTTAAATACTTACTCATGGTCTTAAGTTTTAAGTATACAATTTCAAATCTCAAATTACTTGAAAATATATTTTAAAAAGGCGGCTCATTTTGTCACCGAAGGCGGCGAGTTTTAAGATATAAGTTATATAATTATGTAACTAATATAATTACGTAAGTTATATGCGTGATGAAAAAATAATGAATAAAGGAAAAAAGTTCGTCTTTTCAATGTTTTACCCAAATTTAACAACAGAGCGAGGAATTTCAAAAGTACTTTCCCTTACTTTTTTAAAACACTAAGCGCAATCAGTACAGGACAAAGTACCGGACTGTGGGGTTTATTATTACAGGTGTAACTTTTGAGGCATCTCTTCGTATCAGTATATTGAACGATAAAGTGATTTTAAACACACTAAATTCATGCAAGGTATATTTAATACCAGTATTATAAATTTACAGCACCCGTAACAACCTAGTAAAACGACAATTGACTTTTAATATATATATATATTTTTAAAAATGTGTTAAGTGATTTTAGGCAAATGGACATCACATTACGAATTTATTTGGTTCCATTAGTTTATTCTTAAAAAAAAATTTATAGTTTTCATAAGAACGGGATCATATTCTGTGCGGAAAACGGGATCAAATGCTGTGCCTATTTTCTTAAGCATGCGTCCAGAATAGGAAGATCACCTACGGTATCGGATCAGGCACCTAAACTCTGACCTCAGATCGTGATAGTGGAAAACTCTACTCACCATACCGACTATGCGTCTATTTGAAATGTACTGTTTATTTAGCTCTTTAAATTTATTATTTGGCTATTTGAAATTAATCGAAAATTTTCAGTTTCAGTCATGCCTCACTACAAACTAATCGATTATAGTTATCCAACTTCTGGAGAATTGGCTCGACTCATATTTCAATACAAAGACATTCAATACGAAGATGAAAAAGTTGAATCACCGGACAGAATTTATGAAGCAGAAGAAGGTATAATTTTTTTTTTTTTTTTTTTTTTTTTTTTTTTTCATATTAAGTAAACATTCGCTGATATACAGAGATTCTAGTTATAATTTAATTTGCTTTAAAAATATTTGCTGAAAAAAAATGTCAGCAATATCAGTTCAGAAAATTATCCATTAGTTTTATCGCCTTAAATAGAAATATTAACCTCTAAATTTTTTCAAAAGAAAAAGGCAATGCACGCCATTTTAATTAAACATGTAATTATATAACGAGTAAGAGACTTTATCCCAAGATTTCTTTGTGTTTACATTGTCATGAAACAGAATTTTCATTGAAAAATAAAATTCATGCCAGTATACCGTGACGCATTGATACTAGTTTCCTTAATTTTTATTTATTTTTCCCTGTAATTTTGCGTTCAACTTAGAAGAAAATATAGTAACACTGAAACAAACTCGTCTTCGCTGAGAACTTTTCAAATGAAATTAATGAATCGAGTTACTAATTCTTTCTTAACCACTTTTATGAAATTTTAAATCCAACTCTGAAAACAAGTACTCATCTTCGATCACTTACTTGTTGGGGACAACTTTTTGAAAATGAAGTAAAATCAACCAGATACAAACCATAAAATTTTCCCGTCCTATCAGCAGATCAGTTTTCTTTCTTTAGTTGCTTTTTTCTAAGACCTGCCTTCTAAAAGCTTAAAAATTAATAATTTTTCTTAACTAATCATCAAATGTTACATCTTTTTACGTCTTTCTTATTCTCAGTATAATTTTCTTTTGCATACCTTCATGTTCTCCTATCCAGCAAAATAAAATGTATAGCGTAAGGTTAAACACCCAAAACAGCGGCGGATTTTTTATTTTGTAGGACAGTAATAGTTTAAATTAGAAAAAAGGAGCGTAAAAAAATGTTAAACATAGTTTTCCAATATTTAAAGTTCGCTTTAAAACAAAGTCCAGAAATAATTTAAAAAGAACACTGGTTTCTGCATTGTAAAAAATTTTACATCATCTTAACACCAAGAATGGTGGCGATTATTTTGCACCAAAATGCTGCAGTGCAACAGCATTCATAACACTTGGTGTTTCGCTACACCATCAAGGAACAAGAATAGTTCCTAATGCAGTGAAATATCTGGAATGTTCTTTTACACTACTTGGTGCTATTATTTTCGGTCTTTAATAACACTAAAATGTATATTTATAGTCGCTTAAAAACAAAGTCCAGAAATAATTGTAAAAGAACAGTTGTTTCTGCATTGTAAAAAATTTTACAGTATCTTAACACCAAGGATGGTGGCGATTATTTTGCACCAAAATGTTGAAATACAACAGCATTCATAACGCTTGGTGTTTCGCTACACCATCAAGAAACAAGAATNTTCAAATGTATATATATATATGCTGAGATATATAAAATGTGCAGCGTGAGTTTGAACACCCAAAACAAAAAATGTTAAACATAGTTTTCCAACATTTAAAGTTCTCTTTAAAACAAAATCCAGAAATAATTGAAAAATAATACTGATTTCCGCGCTGTAAAAAATTTTACAGTATCTTAACACCAAGGATGGTGGCGATTATTTTGCACCAAAATGCTGAAGTGAACAGCATTCATAACGCTTGGTGTTTCGCTACACCATCAAGAAACAAGAATAGTTCCTGATGTAATCAAATACCTGGAATGTTCTTTTACACTATTTGGTGTTACTATTCTTGGTATTCGATAACACTAAAATGTATATTTATAGTAAAAAAAAGATACATATAAGAAGTCAGAAAAGTTATTTTTACGATATCATTAATTTAGGATATATATTTATGCATCAAACAATCAAACATACACACAGCAAGAGAGAACTTAAAGCTAAAATCGAACTAGGCCTAACAAAACAGAAGCAAATAGAAATAAAATGTTACTTCATTCAATTGGCAGATGTGTGTAAATCTTCTTATGGGAACCTAATTATCTTTCTTAAATAACTAAAAAAGAAAGAGCCTCTTATGGTCGTTATCGATTGTGAGCAATCTAAGTAAGGTAGTAGACTATTTTATACTAAAGATTAGTCTAGTTAGACAAAAAATACAAAAATATTTCTTGCATCCAAATGCTGCCTGTGCAGCTTATTCTGAAATATTTTAGTGGTAGATTTTGTTTAGAAACATGTTTTCAAAAGTGTAACTATTATTCATGTAAAAGCTATGCCGAATTTTTTCTTAAACTATCCTGGAATTAAAACATTGGTTGTCTAAAAAAACACAGATTTTCATTCTGAATGAAACAATATAATATTTTGTGTTTTCAGAATCACCGTTCGGCTATTTACCTGTTCTGTTGGTGGATGGAAAACATGTCGCTCAAGGACAAGGCATTACAAGATATCTCGCAAGAGAATTCGGTATTACTTTTAAAAATTCAATAAAACTAATTGATTTACGTTTATCTTCTGTGAACTTAATGTTAAACAGTTTGTTAAATAGGAAAATCGAATATTTTTAAAGATTTTGTCTTACAAAAGGGGGAAGTAATCCCCAAAATCTCCCTCTTTTCATTAACTGTATGTTTTAAAACTTTTCCCTCTCTAGTTCTAGTAAGAATTTTAACAGTAAAAATAACCCTTTCTTTTTAAATCTTTTATGGCCATGAACTTATCGAAAAATGATAAATAGTGGGGGTGTTAAAGAGGTTATTTTACATAAGAATCCGCAGAAATAGTATCCAGACTCAGGTTTTCTTTCTTTTTTTCTGATTTTTCTTCAATGGTCCTTTGAAGAAATATCCTTTGATTATTTTAATTTTGTCTTTTTAGTGACTGAAATGATTCATCATTTGATTAGAGTTTCCTTTTTTTTTTCCATTTAAGTTCAACAATGTAAAGTCAAATGATTCACGAGTCCAACAATGTAGGTCCTAAAAGACGTGTTTAATTAGTGTTCTTAGAAAACTCGCAATTGACATAATATGTCAAACATGTGGCACACTGTCCAACATGGTGCTGTTGACATGCTACCTTCTAAAACGTTGTGTAGAGAGTTCTAAATCATGTTGAACTAAATGAATTATTATTTTCCTTTAGTTTATTATTATGTTGTTGTAGTTCATTTACGTCGCACTAGAGCTGCTCAATGGGCTATTGGCGACTGTCTGGGAAACATCCCTGAAAATGATCCGAAGACATGCCATCACAATTTTGATCCTCTGCAGAGGGGTTGGCATCCCCGCTTCGGTAGCTCGACGACCTGCACGCGAAGTTGAGCACTTTACGGTAGAACAGTTTAACGAGGACCAATACCGCACACCCTCGGTCCCTACGCAAACTGATCCAAGTGGTCACCCACCCGCACACTAACCGCAGTCAGTGATGCTTGACTTCGCTGATCTGCTGGGAATCGTGTCTTAACGATCAGTCCACTGCGGGACTAGTTTATTATGTAAAAAGAATCTAATGAGGCGACATTCGAAGCATTTGTAATATCTCTTCTTCTTTTAAAATTTCTCCTTTTTGATACACTTATTCGTTTGTTCGCTTCTAAATAATTTACTTTTCCCGATTAAATAGCAGCAAAATTCATACATTCTTAATGAATTTATGAATGAGTTAGAAATGAACTATGAATATTAATAGCAAATGTTACTTCAATTACAATTTAAGAAGCTATATCAACAGTAAAATTGTAAAAGTTATGTTAATTTATGTTTGTTTGTTTTTTAAATTAATAATATTTACTTTCTATATTTTATCTCTTTTTGTCTTTGCAAAAATATTAGTTGTAAAGCTATTGCTGTTTTCAACAATATTTAAGAAATGACAAAACTATACTCTATCTATTTTTATAGTTAAACTATTTTCATTAAAAAAAAACGCGTTTTTACAGACTTAGTGGGCAAAACTAATGAAGAGGCAGCAATTTGTGACATGATCATGGATGGTTTAGGAGTGATGTTCGCCAAGATGAGAAACATACACGTTGCTAGTTTAGATATAAAACAACAGGTATCATTTTCCCCATTATTTTAGATCAGAAATTGAAAATTAACACTATATTTTGTCTAAGGAAGTCATTTTGACTGCTTTTAATTTCAATTAGAAAAACAATGATGTAAGTAATGACACAATTTCTTAGAATTTTGAGACTTTTTATACAACATATAATTTTTTTTATTATTAATATTTACTAATAACTTGTTATATAACTGTAAATAATATAAAAAATTTTAAAAATTAATTTTAAGCAAATTTATTTGCGCATTCACAATGCAGTCATTTTGACTGCTTTTGGGCAGTATAGGTATATACTAATTTTCCGTCTTTCTAGTATTAAAGAATATGCAGGATGGCTTGAATTAGACTGACGACTTTTAATAATTCATATTAGGAAAAATATTTGAAAGCAAGGAAAAAAATCATCGCGTGATGAATCCAAGACATAAATTTTTCCTCTGAGAGTTTATGTTCTTAAGTCAAACATTTTTCAACTGATAGAACAATCGTATTTATCAACAAAAAAAAATTACATCAAATTGTGCCGAAATATTTCTATGGATGAAACTCTCAGTCACAGTGATGTTTTTGACATGTTCACCACACACTCTACAATTAATTTGTAATCGGAGATATAATCTGAATGCAAAGGATAAATCCTTTGAAAGGACTTATAACTGTATCTGTCAAAAACATTTTGAATTAAAAATGTGAAATGTTAAATTTTGAAAGTACTCTTTGATACTGATGTGAGAGAAAAAAAGTTATATCTATGATCACTCAAATTTACTGCACTAATGGTTTATTCTTCTTCTTTTTTAACAGGCTTAATATTCTATTAGGTTTTATTAATGTGATTTACGTTTTAATTTACGCGTAATTTTACCATTCCTGCTATTATTAAATTCTAACTGCCTGTGAGCCTAAAACAAATTTAAGAAAATTAATATCACAACATAAATAAAGTGAATTTATATCCCTTATCCTAAGTGCATCCCTTATTTGGCTATATTTGTGTAAAATATCTCCGTTAGTTATTTTTTGGGTTGCATCTTCCAGGGCACGACATGCTTGGGGAATCTTCCGAATTCTCATGCTGTTCGTTTCGTTGACGTTTAAATTTTATAAACGCGTTATTTTGTAAACACTACAAGTATAATAATATTTGATGGCACTCTTTTTCAAGCTTAGAAGTAAAAATTAATCAGAAGTAGTAACCTGGAAATCTTACGACGAATTTTAACCCCTAGAGCCGTCTGTGCTAACCCCTTAACCCCTAGAGCAGCAAAATGTAAAATTTCAGAGAAATCGGTCGAATAGTTCCTGAGAAATCAAATTTCAAAAGAATTTGACTGATTTCGCACAAATTTTGTATTTTGCTACGTAATGTTACATTCTTTGAAATGATGAAAAAAATAAATAAATAAACTGTATACCTTACAATTCAGAACTTTTTTTGACTTAAAATCCGAATCCATCATACAAAATGTATGTTCATTCAGAGAAAGTTCTGTTTTTGTCTCTGATTTCATAACTTTAAATACCGTCTGCATTAATTAATTAGCATATTTGAGGTCACCTCCTCCAGCCACTAAGATTAAGTCCGAGAACGTGAAAATCTGATCATTAAAACAAAAATTATGCAGAATAATCCTTTTTTTTTTAGCTGTACTCTAATTTCTGGATAACTAATAATTGTCTTCTCAATAGGTAGCTTTATTGAAAGAAATGATGGAAGAGGATGTACCCCGATATTTAACTAAATATGAGAAATTCCTTGAAAGATCCAGCAGTGCGAATGGTTTTTTTGCCAGTGAACAAGTAAATGATACGTCATTTGTTAATAAACACATAAAAGTAAAAAAATTGACGCTTCATAAACACATAATTTTTTGTCCTGTTCTTTATGAAATACATAAAAATAATACTCAGTGCGCGATATTTGCGATTAGATTGACTGGCCACCTATAGGTAATGCCACCTATAACATTTTCAGAAGCAGCTGTTTCTCAAAATACCGATATCAAACGTCATATCATGATATTGATAATAGGAAGACAATAGAAACAACAAAAACTAAATATGTATAAATATAGACAGCCAAGTCATGGGCTGAACTGTATTGTTTGACTCATATAATTTAATCAATTGCTATAATTTTGTGGTTGTGAATGGCAGCCAGTTGTACACACTATTTTCATTGGATGATTCTAATTTCATTCTACAGCATATGAACAGATGAACACAAAGTATTAGCGGACACAGAAAAATAAACACGCTTTTCAATCAAACATTTAAAAAGCTCTCGTTCGAGAATCAGAGTGTGAGCGTGTAGTAGGGGCCGAGATTGTCCTAGAGCAGGGCTGTCCAACTGGCGGCCCACGGGCCGCATCTGGCCCGCCAGCACATATTGTGCGGCCCGCCAACTTCTTATTCAGGCTGATCACCCTCAATTTTCCCATTAAAATATAAGCAAATTGTTTAATAATCCTTCTGTTCCATTGTTTTATAATTAATAATTCAACTATTAATTGTTATTGTATAAGAGGTAAGAGGTTATTGTTCAACTTTTTCAAACTGCGGCCCGTGGGCTCTTTGCAGTTGGACAGCCCTGTCCTAGAGCATGTGATGAGCGCATGTACGCAATGATGAAATTAAGTGATGTAATTGAAATTCCCAACATCCTCCCACCACTCAGTTTTTTTTTTATCAAGACACTGAAATACGTTTCTTCAAAACATCTTTTTCGTTTTCACCAACTTAAAAAGGAAACAATCTGTATGTCGGTCGTAGAACATACAGTATTGGAGGATTACTTGGTGACACAATAGGAAATAGGAAATTCTCCAAGACTTTTCTTCAGTAAGACTCTATTCTTTGTTCGAAAAAGACCATTATCATTCACAAGAACTTGGAGATTTTGTAGTCGTTTATCAAGTTGTCCTATGAAAGATTTTGGCTCTGTTATTTTTAGCAACGAAATTCCAGATCTGTTTCTTTCTTCCCCGATTATGACTCCAAATTTTCTAACATCTTTCTTCAATCTGCAATCATCCAAAAATCTGTAAACCAAAGTATTAACAATAGCTTCGAATAATCGGTGAAAATATCACAAATTTTGTCTTCATTTTATGCATTTGAAACGCTTAGAGCTGTTTTTTTTCTGCATTTATAATTTCTTCATCGTGAAAAGTATTGGATTTAGGCCAATTTTCAGGGTGATTTTGCAACCAGGTCGGTCCTTGTCCCTATTTAGACATAACTTAAGTTTCAATACCACATCCTCGAGATGGCGAATCAAACGGATTTCACTGACCGGAGAAGTGATTAAAATAATCTGAGTCGCCCAAAAATGCAATTTCTTTAACGCAATTAAATATAAAATTAGCCCAGTTTTCATTTTTCTTAATCTAGGAAAGAGTAATGTTGGAATCAGACCAATATCGTGTAGTAGTTTTTTCCATTCCTAAGTCTTGCTCCTATATTATACAAGTTCTAACACTACAAGTTCTAACCTACATACTGATATAGGCTACAGTGGAGTGACCCTTGATCAAGCCTGCATTAATAAGAAAACAATTCAATCCTCTGTTTCACTCCTAAAAAACATTCAAGCAGCATACGCTTTTTCGGAGGTATCACAAAAGACGTGCAATGTTAATTCTCTAACTGCCTCATTTTATCTAAACGCCTAGAGATAGAAATTTCTTTTACAAAATTAGGTTTGTCTTTCCACTTAATGAATTTCTTAGCCATCCGAGATAACAACTCAGCATCCCAAGACAATTTTACTTTCCAGAATTCAATATTAACTTTAGCATTGATGTTACAGGACAAATGAATCCAATAGGATCAAAAATTTTGCGTACTGATGGGAAAATATCTCTTTTAGTTACAGGTTGATTTTCTGTAATGGTATCTAGATCTCTTAAATCAATAGATAAAATGGCCGTTTTAGTATACCATTTTAAACTTAATGCAAGGACTGATTTGATTTCGATAAATTCTGATTCACTTTTCTCGAAAGGGTAATTCTCTTGTGATGTGAATTTTGCGGAAGCAAAAATTTCTTGTGATTCATTAACATGCTTAACTTAATCTCTTTTGTTTTAACCACTGTGTACACAATTGTCTACATAAAAGAATTTCGAAAGCTTTTAAAGCATTTCTTTGTATTCAGAAAGTACATTATTTAAATAAAATTTAAGAGTCGCTCCTAGTAAGGAAGGACTTGAGGATATTCCAGAAACAACAATTTTAAGCTGAAAAGTTCTCAAATGTTCTTTTTTTCCATTCTGCCACCATAAAAGTTTTAAATAAGGTTTATCTTGTTCATATAGTTCAATTAGCAAAAATATTTTTTTCAATTATCATACACATCTCTATGTTTTCTTATTCTAAATCTGTTTATCCAGATGGAATAAGTACTACGTAGTTGGACCTTTTTTCTAAACAATACTTGCTTGAAGGCAATTCTTTATCTTCAGCGTAGCCATCAAAGACAAGTCTAACATGCGTTGTCGAATTTTCTTTAATAACAGGACGCTGATGCAAATAGTGTTCTAGCTAGAACTATGAGTCATTTCTATTACACCCTGATCTAACCAGTCATCAAAAATAAATTGTATTTAGTAATTTTGTTTAATTTTTTAAGAGATTTCATAGCATTTTCGAGTCTTTTCTCAGAAATACCCTTATAATTTTTTAAGTGGGGATGTAAATCAGTCCAGGGAAATTGAATTTGATAACTCTTTTCAAAATCTCTGGTCACAGTTCTCAAAACTTCCTTTTCGCCGATTGTTCTAATCCTTGTGATCTTCATAAATCATCTCTATCAGTTCTTTTACGCAAGGGAATAAAGTTATTCTAGAAATATTAAGAACAAATTACTCCCTGATACTCACTGACTTCAAAATTTATATGGTAACTATTATCTACATAATTTACATGAACTGAATATCTTTTACGTTTTTCTGTTTTGATCACCCCAAATAAAGAATGTAAAATAGATTCTTCACCGATAACATCATATTTTATACATGCTGCAACGCATTTCGAAATGTTCGGTAGCTGCGAACCCGTATCAAAGAAAATTTAAATCAATTTAGTTATGTTATTCCCACGTATTCGTACCATTATGTTTGTAAAGCTGACGCATCATGTAATGATAATTAAAGAGCTTTCCGTAACAATTTTTACTTCTGACCTTTTTCTATTAATTTTATTGCCATGAAATATTTAATTTTTTCACCCAAACGTAACAAGTGTTGCCCATTCGAACAGTTTACAATAGCACACAATATGCCTAGGACTTATAAGTTAAGCAGGGAAAACAGATGCCCTTCTCTATAAACAGTGCTCCCCGACCCTCGGGGCTCCCAAAGAGCATTATATTTCTATTTTGTTTACTTTGGTGTATTTCTCTCTCTCTCTCTCTCTCGAGTTTGCGCAACCAGAGGGGAGGCTAAAAAGCAATTCACAGTGGATGAAGAATTGATCTCCATTAAGAACATTTGCTCTGAACTTTAAGGATAAGTTGCTGTGAAAGAGATAGCATATTTGCCTTTGTCGACTAGCACTGTGACTAGGGGCATACATTTAGACAAAGTTGTTTGAAAAGAATCACCGTATTATACACTCCAGGTTGACGAAACTTTATAGTGAACTTTATAGTGAACGAAACTTTATAACCTCATCAACTACAATTATTAAAATGGCAGATTAGTGAAAGCGAATCTAAGTATTCTTAAGAGTGCCAGACTGATCTACATTATTCTACCAATAAATATTTGCACGCTCATGTTCATCAGCGGAGGTATGGTTCCTTCGATATAGACTCAGATCAGTGGTTCAGATTCAGGGTAAACTCATAACAGACACCTAAGCCAGTGTGCTTACTCTGTGGCGGTTGTTTCACGGATTGAGCTCATGTTATTTCCAGGGCAGCAACGCTAACTTTCATTAAAGGAATTATTCAATGAAACTGAAGGCGGAAAGATATACTTAATATAAAAACTTCCTTTATTTCATAAATCATAGAAGTGGAAGAAGTTGATAGGTTTCGAGAGCTCAAAAATAAGCCCCCATTCTCATAACTCGCCAGACGCGAATTTGAAAATCAAAACAGATTTGAAACAGAAAGCTTAAAATTACCAACGAAAATATAACCAAAGGGGCAAATCAAAACTAAAAAAGAAGCATTATTCATATGAGGCAAATCAGGCATTTCCTTGCTCAGGTGGTTAGATCATTCACTAGAGAATCGGTCTTCATATGAATGAAACACGATTTCAGAGCATTAAGATACTTTTATAAGACAGCTGTTGAAAGAATTTTGACATTATCGAAATTAAATGTAAGTCCAAGGTCCGAACAATGTCAGAAAATGGATGATTTATATGTTATGTTCTAAGGTCAACCATCCATTGGTAGGGTAACCATGTGGTTAACTGAAACTAGCCTGGCTAAAGCACACACATGAACCATATCGGTATACCTCTAAGAGGACAACCGAATTAAGGAGTGAAGGAACTTATATACCTTATCCAAACCAAATAAGAGAGAATATCACAGGATGCCATAGAGAAACTCGAAGATAAGTATGGCCCTAAGTGGAGAAATTTCCTCTCATGGCGGCATTACCATCAACTGTTGAATACGAATAAATATTGTTTTTCCTATCAATCACAGAAGCATGAATATTAATTGGGATTTACTGTAATAGATGTTTTCACGTGCCTCCATTCCAAAATAAATTTGCGTAGTTGCTCGTTCGTGAACACTACTGATCAATTCCTTGTAGCGGATAGCCACTATTCATGAAGTTTGTAAAAAACAGTAAATAGCCTGGAACAGGGAGGCTATTATGTTTTCATCATAGTGTAAGCTTAAAGCAAATAGTATTCGTGTTTTCCACAACTTCTTCCTTACTTTAACTTTATTTCTAAGTCTTCTTTTTTTCCTTTCAGCTCACATGGTGTGATCTTGGAGTTGGACTGACTTTAGCCGGCTTGCAAATCCGACAGCCAAAGTTACTGGATAACAATCCACGACTAAAAGCTTTTGTTCAAAAAGTTTCTTCAAATCCAGTAGTTGAAGATTTCATACAGTCTGAATTGGCTCAATCAGTAATTATCAGAAAAAACAGCATGTGATGTTATTCTAAATAAAATTCTCTAATTCTCTGTTTTTAACTTAGTTTTCAACGGTGTCTTTAGTTTTCAAATTTAATTCAATAAAAACAAATTTCACTGTTATTGTTTCATTTATTTAGTACTTGGGTAAAACAGCATTCAAACATTAGTAACACAAGAAAGATTGAAATTTGCTTTGTACCAAGGAAAACGGACGGAGACAGTGTAGCTATTCTCGATTTGTTGGTGTAGATCATATAAAATATATATCTAGAATCAAAAAATATGATCTGCACATATATGTTTCTGGCAATATATATATATGGTAATACTTTTACTTCCGTTACATGTAACGAAAGTGAAAGTAAAAAGGAAGTAATTTAACTTATACTTCGTTGATTTTTAAATTTAGTACTTTTATTTGTTTTTTCGTTACTTTTTTTGAGAAAAAGTAAAAATATTTGTAACAAAAATGTGAAAAGAAATCGCTCCTTTTTTTAAAAAACTTCTTTAAAAAGTTTCCTCAGAAAATTATTATTATTATTATTGAAATTTTTGAACATTTTCCTTCAGACACATCTCTATTTTCTCTTCCAAGACCTTATGCTAAATATTAAGGCCATCAAACATGAGGAGTCTTTTATTAAAAGAAACCATGTAACTGGGAGTGGGATAAAACATGAAACTCATTAACTGGCCAGAAAAAATAGCAATTTCGGTGAGAAACCCGAATCTGAAAGGGCGAAGGTCATGGGGTGTTTCCCAGCTCAATGGCCAGCTGTCTCCAAGCTTATCTTTTTATATGCTTGTGCAACTTCCATTTAATTAGCTGTGAACATCTCTCTGAAAAAACGTTTTCCGAAAACTGTTGAATAGATTTAACCCCTATTGTAAATTGTCGAGGAAGAAGAAAAAACACACATCCCTCCACAGAGAATGGCGGTGAGGAATCCCTATAACAAATACAAAAAAGGAGGCAATTCTGCCTCGCTTGACAACAAATTTCAACCAATCAAGCAATTTTAGATTGAATACTGTTCTAAAAACTAAGAACAGTAGCAAGTTGCGCGTTTAAAAAATGTATGTAGTTCCTATTTTTAAATTTTAAATGTAAAAATAAGAAGATTTTTATTTTCTATTTGATCCTAAAAAGCAACTACTACGGTAAATAAATATTTTCAAAATATTTAAATAAATTTTATTGAATTGAGCTTTGCCTAATTTGTTTACATCCGTCAGATATGAAAAAATTTGTTACTACTAGCTAAGGTAGAGCATATAAACGACTGTATTGCTGAATTACTGAAGTATTGTAAACTTTCTGCAGACGATTTTGTAGTCTGGACCGAAAATCCTAAAACACAAGCTAAACTACAATCTGAAACTACCTTAAATCAGGCTCTAACTAAAGGCCAGTGATTGGTGGTAGTTAAATTAGTGACTCCTGTAAAGATATTGAATGGTGTCACGTCAATAATATAGAAATAAATTTAGAAAAAAACTGCATATCAAACTTTTTCCCTCACCCCTCAACTGATCAAGCTGAACTTTATTTACCAAAACTCCCCCGTTCTTCAAATCAACTCTTAATATAATAATAACAAAATAACAGTCAAAAATATCTGACTGCTATTTTTGACTGACATGTAAAGAGCACGTTTAAGACATATTGGAAGAGCTACCAAGAGGCATAAATTAATGAAAAGAATTGGGGAGGAGCGTGGGGACGCTGTAGAACAACCCTGGACTTGACTTTTAATTTTTATATTTTGACATTTTTGACTTACTGTTCCGAACCTCTGGTGTCGGCAAGTAAACAGGTTATTGATTCCCTAGTAAGATTCCAAATCCTAGCCCTTCTGCATATTATGGGAGCTGTTAAAACAACCCCACGACTGATGCGATTTTGATATCCACCCAACATTTGAATATAAAATCAATTATAGGAGAGAAGGCACTAAATTTACACTCAAAATATCATAAAACTACCAGATTGCTTTCCCTTGTGGAATAACCCTTTGTCATCATTTACACAGAATCTTAAAACCCAAAATAGTTTCCCTCAGAAAGTCATCGAAATAAAAGAACAACTAGAACTGAACTGGGAGAAGGAAAATCTTATCAACCCACAATGTCCAACTGAAGGAAGGAAGTACGTGGTTAGAACAAACCTGTCAAATAAGGTTTCTAAGAAAGAAACAAATGACTTCTCTAGCGCCAGCGTTAATATATATTAACGCTGGAGCTGGGGTCTCCACAAGACAATTCTCATTTTCTTGTCGGACTCTTGTCATTTACTCTTGTCGGAAGGTATAAAACTACCTATGGAGTGGAGATCTTAGCCATCAGACAGTCTAGTCACAGTTACAATGTCAAATTAAAATATTTTCAAGTGCCATCACACTATCAAATTCTAGGGCTGTCCTCCTAACCATTGCTTCATCTGAGACTCTGGAGTTAACTGCCAGCGCTTTGTGAACTCCAGGGAAATTAAATAGCTGATTCCCCAGGGCCGGATTTACGTATAAGCTAAATAAGCTATAGCTTGGGGCCCCGAGATGACAAGGGCCCCCAGATAATACTTCCCCCCCCCCTCTTTTTTTAAAATTTTATTCGGAGCTGGGGCCCTCAGAAGCCCAAAATGCATTTTTTTTTCTTTTTTACATTGTCGGACATAATAAATATAAATAAATGACTGAATAAATAAAAAACTTCGTTGTGATTAGTAGGGAACATATCTTTCA